CTGAGGGTTTGTTGCATTTTCTACAATGCCATCATTTCATGCTGCTTCTCCTGGTGACTCCACTGGGTGACCTCAGAGATGTAAAGAAAGCGGCTCTCTGTACTCAGTGGCTTCACCTCTGCTGGCCTGCTGAGCCAGGACGCAGCTCTGTGGCAGCTCTAAGGATGACATGGCTGGTATTTACTTGCTCCACTGGCTTCCTCTTTCTTAGAGACAGAAGCATAGGGAATTCTTTCTGAAGCCCTGGCTCTCCTGTGTGCTAAGAGAATGGACCCACTACAGGAAGTATTTGTAAATTCTAAGCTCAAATTGGCAGCAACTGCTCCAATGCATTTCTTGGGAGATTGCTGTATTTCACTAGCAACATGAAAGAGGGTACACAAAATATTAAAAGGCATTTGGGGGCATCTGGAAATAAATGTATCAAGGCCAGCTTTCTTTTATTCAGTACTGTCGCAGCCCTGCAGCACTCTAGATGAGTTAGATCTGAAGGCTGCACAGAAAATTCACAGGTGTGAGTTAAGGTGGACCCAGGACTGGTTAATTCTAGTCGAGGATTATCTTCACCTGCAAAAGTGCTGCAGTATAATGCAACAAGTGTTGAAGTATAATGCCCAAACTCAACAGCACAAGGCAGAGAGACCCAAATTCTCCACCTCCTATTAATGACCAGTAAAAGAATTCCTCACGTTTTGGATTTTGCACACAAATGGAAAGCAAAAATAAAGACTTGACAGATAGATAAAAGGAAGATAGAAATATAGGAAATCACTACAGATAAAAGAAGAAGAGCACATTCCAAGTATCAGATGCAAGTCTCACGTTTAAGGGACCCTGAACATTCGTGGAGTCATGAGATTCTTAGTACCGGAAACTATGAGAACATCAGAGGGAAGAGAGGAGTGAAACCTGGGAATGGTTAACTAGAAGCTAGTACTTCCCTCAAATGTTTCAGTAGCACTTAGAATTGCATTCCCTTCCATTCCCTCCACATACACCACAGTCTAAGCTCCTTGGGTAAGAAATTATTCTCTTGTTCACTGATAAGTTCCCAAGCATCAAAAACAGTGTCAGGTATACAGTAGGGGCCAAATAAAATTTTTTGCGTGAATAAACAATGTTTTTAGCCATTGCTTTGAAGTATCACCTTAAAAAATGGAGTAAGTGATCAATAAAACAATAATTGCCATTGTTATAATTAGTACTCATGTCTGGGAGTTAAAATTTGAATCCTCAGCAAAAAAATTTGTTAGTTAAGTGTGCCAGGTAGCCCAGTTTGTGTGACTTAAATTGTTTTTTAATTAAATACAACAGCATGCGAGAAAATGAATAAATCTTGGGGCATAGCTGGATTCATTTGGAGACATATTCAAGATAGAAAATAATCATCAGCACTCTAGAAAACTCTCTGGTCCCCTTTTCTGTCCATGGCTCTCCCCTACAGAAGCAGCCATTATTCTGGTATCTAACCCCATAGACAAGTTTTGTCTCTTTTTTGAACTTCATATAAATGGAATCAGACAGTATAATCTTTTGTGTCTGTCCTATTTTGTTCAACATAATGGGGTTTGAAATTCATCTGTGTTGTCAGGCCTATGAATAGTTCCCTCCTTATTACTGAGTAGACTTCCATTTGATGAATATACCCTAAATTATTTATTCACTTCCTTGTGAATGGATACTTGAACTGTTGCTGATTTCTTGTACAAGTGTAACATTTTGGATTTATATTTATATTCCTTTGGTATAAATAACCAAGAATGAAATTGTTTGATCATAAAATGTGTGTGTCTCATTTTATAAGAAAAAAATAAACTACGAAACAATTTTCTGTGATTATTATAATTTTACCTTCCTTCCAATGATATACTGTAGAAGACTTGGTTGTTCCAGACTCTCGCTACAACTTGATATTATCATTACTTTTATTTATAGCCACAGGTATGTAATAGCATCCTCACTGTGGCTTTAGTTTGTATGTTACTGATTATCTATGATTTTAAGTATATTTTATGTATCTTTGCCTATTTAAATGATATCTTTTGTAAAGTGTCCAAGTAAATTTTCCACTTTAGTCATGCTGTTTCTCATTTTGTTATTGATTTGTGGGTGTTTTTTTACACACTCAAGATATGACTACTTTGTAACATATATATATTAATATATGTTAATATATTATATTATATATTATATATTATATGAACATATATTAATATTATATCAACACATATATTAATATATATTATATATGTTACAAAGTAGTCATATATATTATATATTATAATACATTATTATATAGATTATATTATAAAATATATTATATATTATAATACATTATTATATAGATTATATTATTGTATATGTTATATATTACAATATTATACATTATATGTGTTATATATTATGATATATAATATATAATATATTTGCATTAACATTTTCTTTCCATTTTGTACCTTGCTTTTTCCACTTTTAAAATATTCCATTTTTAAAATATTTCCCACTTTTAAAATACATGGCAAAAGTTTTTTATTTTAATAAAGTACAGTTTATTGTCTTTACTATTTGATACTTTTTGCATTCTGTTTAAGAAATCTGTGATCCTCTCAAACAACAAAATATCTTCCTGTGCTGTCTTGTAGAAACTTCATAATTTTAGTTTTTACATTTAAGCCTATAAGTTTTTCAAGGAATTTTTTGTGTATAGTTTGAGAAATTAGAAAGCTTATCATTTTGCCATTTTAATATTTAGTGGACTTAATACTATTTATTAGAAAGGCTTTTCTCTAGCTTCTTCTCATAATAACTCCTCCAAAATTATTTAAATGCACGTGTGTGGGGCTATCTTTATTAAATAGGATATTATCTATAGGCTTTCCATAGACACCTTTTGTCAGATTGAACAATCTGCCTTCTTTGTCATGAAGGGATATTGGGTTTTCTTAAATATGTTTTCTTTATCTACTGAGACAATCATAATTTTCTCCCTTTTTTCTGTTAATATGGTAAAGTACGTTGATTTATTTTTACTGATAAACCAGTATTGCATTCCTCAAATAAAACCCACTTAGCCATGATGTATTATCCTTTTAAAAACATATTGTTGGTTTATGATTGGAAACATACTGAAAAACTCTGTGTATATTGGTGTTACCTCTTTTTTAGGTGTTTGATAGAAGTCACAGTGAAACCATCTGGACCAGAAGTTCTTCTTTTTCTCTTTGTAAAAGTTTTTGTTACATGTTCAATATCTTAGCCAGTATGAGGTTGTTCTTGGAGTTAATTTCTTCTCATATCAGTTCTATGTTTCCTTAAGGTATTTGTCTATTTTTCCCACATTGTCAAATTTGTTAGCATAAATTTTCTGAGTCTTCTTTATCACATGGGATCTATAGTTTCTTGTGCTTTAATATCCATTATCTTTGTTTTCTGTTTTCATTATTGCTTCATATTATGAAGTTTATTAATCTTTTCAAAGAACTGGCCTTTCACTAATTTTTTCTATAGCTTCCATTCAATTTTGTCAATTTTTGCTTATATTTATTATTTTTCTCTTCTACTTCATTTAGATTTTTGTTCCACTTCTTTATCTAGCTTCTTAATTTAGAAGCTTAAATCATTCACTTTGTATTTTCTCTTTTTCATTATAAGCATTTAAAGGTACAGATTTCCCTGAACACATTTTCAACTTTATTCTACAAATTTTGTTATGATACTGTGTGTTTTCATGATCATTCTATTCAGAGTATTTTTGAACATCTTTCTTCTTTCTTATTTCTATATCGCCCTACAGGTTTTTAGAAATGTGTAATAGTTTCCAAATATTTGAGACTTTTCTAGATACAGTTTTGATACTGATTTTTATGTCAAGGCTACTGTGGTCAAAGAGAACATTATGCATAATTCCAATCCTTCTAAATATATTGAGACTTGTTTTTTCTTCCAAAGTGTAGTCTACTTGGAAGGTCATCTATGTACTCTTGGAGGAATACATACTTTATAGCTGTTGGGTATAGTGTGCAGTTTTCTTATGTGTCTTCTCCACTCTTCCCTTATAGATATCTGTCACTGTCTCACCAAAGTCAGTGCACCTGTTTGCATATTATTTTCTCCTGATTCTAATTAACTGTATTATGTCTGCAACACCACATCCTATATCTTCCTCTCCTCTGGGGTTTCTCAGGCCCTCGTTTGATGTGCACAGTAAAGGTAAATCCCAGGATGCTAAAATAGTTTAGAAGTTAGGTGTTGCTTGTCAAAGAAGACAAGATAACGTTATAAGCTCCTTCTTGTTTTTTTTTTATTGCATTCTTTATGTGATATTGTGGCTAATAATTTGAGAGTTGATTTATGGGAGGATACAGAGTACACTTGGGACAGATACTGTCATTCGAGCATGAGGCCATATGCAAATTCCTTGTAAATCTCTCCTCTGACTCAGGATCTGGGGTGATTTTTTTCTTTGCACACTAATTTCTCGCATTTTTCAAAATGAATACGTATGTACTTGGGCATCTGCTTCACAAGCTCTCGCTCCAACATATGATTTATAGAAGCAATACATTTAAATTTTGAAGGTCAGGTTACTTATAAGACTAGTTTACATGAAAATACAGGGTCAATAAGTTAATAATAAGTTAAAAGATGAACATGCCACACATTTAGGAGATTTAGGTAAACTGTTATATTGTCAACACTTGCTACTATAATGGTACAAACCAAATCTGACTGTCTTTAAATTATCCTAGATCCTCCTGGGATCATTCCTACTGTTGTTTGAGAGCCAACATAGCAAAAAGAACATTACAAGTTCACCCAGGTACAGAATTCCAGTTGCACTGTATGATATCTAATATCACTGATCTAAGAAAATCCTGCCCTTGGTTTTAGGATGGAGCCTGGAGCAGCTCTGCAGGGTGTGGTCTGGGAAAAGGAGTAAGTTGCCCTTTTCTCCCAGTGCTTTCTGCCTTTTCCACATTCAGCACAAAAAGGATGCTCACCTTTTCCCATTCCCGGTCTTTGTTCAGCACGATCACCACCAGCCTAGGGTGCACCTGATAGCCTTCCTCAGTAAAGGACAAGTCTTTGCCATTCCAGGTCACATTGACCATAAATCTAGACAGAGGAAGAGAGAAAGACAAACTTTTAGAGAAGATTAAAAGAGGTGCCAAACAAATGAGTGGATGCCACCATCAGAGTCACCCTGACGGTGTCTGCGTGCACAGCCCTTCCTGTCACACGCAGCCCCCGTCTGTGGAAGGATCCATACCCAGGCAGGCACTGCTCACCACCCAGGCAGTCAGTGCCATATGCCTGGACTCCTTCTCAAACTCTTTGGTCCTGCGAAGGCATTAAATAGAAAAAAAAAAAAAATGAGAATCAAGACTTGCCATGTAAAGGTACATGATCCCAACAATGAATGTAACTGTACTGTATCCCTAAATGTACCAATAAACTCAATAAAAAAATAAATAAATAAATAAATAAATAAATAAATAGAACATTCCTGTCCTGCTAGGTCCATAGATATGTGTTCAAATGATCTGACAGATAAGCACATTCTATACTGCTTTAAAAAGCTCCCCTGAAGAAACTTGCTTGCTCCTTCAGCTTAGAAAAAATGCTATTCCACCTATCATTCATTCAACTGGCATATGAAGTTTATAGTCTAAGAGAGAAAACTGGTGCTAATTGATTAGCCACACACTTATGGTAAATGTTACATCAGAAAGAAAGATGTGCCATGTGAAAGTGAAATAGGGGTCAGGCAAGGTTAAGGAAATACAATTTGACTTGAAGGATGAGTCAGTATTAAACTATGGAAGAAAATATATAAGCAAGCAAAAGAAACAATATACACAAAGGCCCAGTGGTGCCATATATAAGGGACTGGATGCAGAACAGTGAAGCTAAGACAGAGAAAGACAAGCAAATAGGGTATTTGGTCAGGCTGAAAATACAAATGGAGGCAGATAGTGTAGAGTTCTGTAGGCCACGTTAAATTTTGTCTTTGTCTTATAACAACAGGAAGACATTGAGGTATTTTAAACAAGAGGTGGCATAATCATAGATTTGTCTTATTATGTAAGGCTGTGCAGAGAATGGACTAGAGGGAGAGTAGGATGGATAAAGGGTGCTATTTACAGGGGGTACTACTGTTCTTGTAGCAACGGTGAAAGACAATGGTGGCTTTGGCTTTTGTAGTGACCAAAGGAGAAGGGGAGAAAGAGGAAAAGGAAAAAATAGCCACAGAGAACAAACAGGACCCAGTGGAAAGATACTTAGCTAGATCAGATGTGAGGACCAGGCAGAGAGAGGTATCAAGAATGACTCATGCAACATTTATGCTGCCAACCTCTAGCCTAGGTGTTTTCCTCACAGGTGATATCTGTCCGCCTTACGACACATGTACCCACACCACTCCCCAAACCCACCTTCCCCACGGTCAGACTGGATTTAGCTAGAGAAAAAGGCAGAGCTCCTCTCCCCGGATTTGGGTGAAAAGGTTCCCAAGGGGATCTTAGCTCTTTGCAACTTGAGAAAAAAATGTAATGTTAAGTTCACCCAAGAAAGTATGGCAATGGCCATGCAGCCAACACCCAATAAAAATAGTACCATTCAGGACAGCGTTCAAGACTACCCCAGAAAGACAGTGCACCTTGAAACCATTTCATTTTCTTGCTTTGTTTTCCCTTCCCTCCAAAGGCAACTAAAGAAGTGGGGGTTAAGGCTGTGATTAATAAGATTGTCCTAATGGGCCGCATGTCTACCCGGGCCCCTCACAGTGCAGAAGAATGTGACCATGACACCTGACAGGGGACACAGTGAGAAAATTGGGGAAAAGGCAAAGGTATTGTGTTTCCATTCAACGGAATATTTGGGTCATTAACAAGTATGTGTTTGTCACATTAACAGCATGAAGACGATGCTCACTATCTAACGTTAAACAAGCAGAAAGGGGGATAAAAACAAAGCTTGTCTGTGCATGGAGAGATTACAGGTATTTTCCATTTCCATTTGTGTGTCTTTTAGTCTCCAAATTCTCTTCAATCAAAGCCTTTAGCCAACAGAAAAAAATAAAACATCGCTATTCTAGAAGGAACAAATAGTAATCACTATTCTATTTGATGCATTTGAGATAGCTCTGATCATTTGCCAGAAAGATATTTTCTTGACTCAATAGCAATCTACTGTGTGTCTGTTATGTATCAGGTCTTACAATCAGTCTTAGGAATAAAAAATAAAAAAACACAGTGTTTCTCTACCCTCTTATCCACATTCTTACAATTCAAGGACGTACACACATAAACAATGCTACTGCAAGAACCACTTGTGCACTCAAGGAGAGGAAGTATGAGATGTTGTAAAAATGCAGAAGATGGCCCCAGACTCAACCTGGGAGATCTGGGGAGCGCTTCTGCAAAATCTTGAAGGGTTGAGGATGGGGTAGGAGAAAGCATTCTGGTGAGAAGAGGCACCCTAAGCACAGAGGAATCAGCCAGTGGGGTGACACAGACCAGAAGAAGCAGCTCTGTCAGGCCAATGGGAAGGACTCTTGAAGCCAGATCACAAGAGACCTCGTCTGGAAGGCTAAGTGTCTAGATTTTGTTTGGAAAGCCATGTGAGATCCATGAAAGAAAGGCTTTGAGATTAGGAGTGATCCCTCAGGTTGCTACCAACAGAAGCAAACAAAAATCTCTGAATTTGAAGACTGTCAACGTTTTTGTTAATGGCTTAAACACCGTTCATTATCTAGACAATTGAATTTTTTGCTTTTCTGTTCTTTTCTCCTTTTGATGTTTCTCCACTAGTATGGGATGAGCTAAGTGGATGTGGTCCAGATAGGCACATCTAAGGAGCATTCCACCTCCTCCCTTCTTCAAGCTCTTGCAAAAGTATTTACATGGGCAGGGTTTTAGAGGAAAACTAAATTCTGGTCAAATTCCTGAGTATTGGCAGACTTTCAAAGTAACTAATTGGGGGTTATTTTAGGCTGTCTTTATTCTTCAAGCTGGCACTTTGGTTGTGTGCCTTCTGGTTATTTTTGGTCCGACCACATTTTCTGGCATAATGTGCGTGGTAAGAGAGGGAGCTCAGTTAATGCCTGGCGGTTGAGTACACTGACAGATAGAAATAAGAAGTACCGCCCATAAACACATTTGTCTATCCACCCATCCATCTATCCATCTGCCATCCATTCTTCCAGCCGTCCACCTATCTACCAGTACATTCATCGATGCACTTACCCATCCTTCCATCCCATAAACTTATTTAGGTACGTACTATGTACAATACCCTGTGTCAAGACCTCTGCTACAAAATACAACCATATGGTTTTCAATTCGCCCATCATAAACTTATTTAGGTACGTACTATGTACAATACCCTGTGTCAAGACCTCTGCTACAAAATACAACCATATGGTTTTCAGGGTTGAAGAGAGGAACACAAATAATTACAAAAAAGAATAGCAAGTATGAAAACAGAAATATGCACCAACTAAGTTGGTGAGAACAACAGGAGTGTACAATTCTGTTGATTCCAGGGCTTGAATCTGGAAATAAAGTGGAAGGTGCTTGGATTGTGCTAAAAGAGAGAATAAGAATTGGGTGGAAGGATGGCAGAAGGAAGATAAAAGATTCACTGCACACAGGAAACTGCGAAGACAAAAGCAGAGAATCTGAAATTTCACAATGAGTTCCAGGAGTTAGAATTAGCTATACGAAGGTTACATGGTTCATAGGAGAAGTAGCTTGGAGGATTGTTTTATTCAGGTTTGCATTACTGTGACAAATACCTAAGAAAATCAACTTCAATGAAGAAAGATTCATTTTATTTATAGTTTAAGAGGTTTCAGTCTGTGGTTGGCTGGCTCCATTGTTTTATTTGTTTTGTTTTGTTTAAGAGTAGGAAATTTTTTGAGGGAGAAACAGCTCCTGAGAGACAGGAGGGGACCCAGAAAGTGAGTTAGCCAAGATTTTATTTTAGTTTTTTGTTTGTTTTTTTTTTTTTATACCAGGGATGGAACTCAGGACCTTGCACTTGCAAGGCAGGTGGTAGAACCACTGAGCTAAATCGCCAGCTTCACTGGTTTTAAGCTTATAATAAAGTCATCCATGAAAGGCAGAAATACATGGCAGAGAAAGCTGCTGACCTCACAGACAGAAAGCAAGGTGAAATGAGAGCAAGAAGAAGACACCAGGGACAGCCTTTAAGGGCATGTCCCCAAGGACATACTCCCTCCAGTGAGGCCCCACTTTCAAACACTTCCACTAGCTCCCAAGAGCACCACCAAATTAGGAATCCATCAGTGAATTAAGCCATTGATGGGAGTCAGAGCCCTCATGCTCCGATTATCTCCCCAAAGCCCCACCTCTGAGCAGTGCAGCATTTGGTCCAGTCCTTCAACAAATAAGGCTTCGGCGGACATTCCAGATCCAAACCATAACAGGGGTGCAGCTAGAGACAGAAGCTGTGGTCAGATAAAGAAGCGCTCCATCGGCTACACTAAGAAGTTTATACTTCCTGTGTTCACTTGGGTTGGAGGCCAGAGCAGCAAGTTTACAAGGCACAGGCGGATGTATAAATGAGACTTTGGGGTAATAAATTCAAGAGAGACATTGAAAGAGGGAGCAGTTGGAGTATAGTGATTGCACAGACAGACAAATTTCTTCAGCGCGACATACAGTTCATGGAATATAAAATTTCACAACAAAACTACCACTAGCCTTTACCTGAACTAGGAGAAAAATAGTCACCTATTCTCCCTCTGTATCTCTTGTCCAAAAATCATAGTTAGGATAAACAATTCATTGAGGTATTTCTTAACTCCAGTGAACTCGAGCCAAATTTCAGTTATCCAACACTTTGAGGTGAATGAAGGTCAGGTTAGGTCTGCCTAATCATCGAAATGTGGGTCCAAAAGAAGTTTAAATAAAGGCCCATGTATTAGAGGTTGGTTTCCAGGGTGGTGCTGATGGAAAGTAATGGAACCTCTAAGAGGTGGAGCTGATAGGGAGGTCTTTGGGTCTTTGGAGACATGCCTGGGAGAGGAGAGTGGAACTCCTGCCCGCCCCCGCTTTTATTTCCTGGCCATGAAATAAGTGGTTTTATTC